GGATCATGACCTGAGCCAAAGGCAGGCGCTTAATGACTGAGCCACCCAGGTGCCCCAATGCCTTTTAATTCTTTTTCTTACCTAATTATTGTGACTAAGATGTCCACACTATGTTGAATAAAAGTGGTGAGAGTGGGAATCCTCATCTTGTTCCTGATCTCAGAGGAAAAGCTTTCAGCTTTTTACCACTGAGGATGATATTAGTTGAGTTTGTCATATGTGACCTTTATTATTATGTTGAGGTATATTCCTTCTATACCCACTTTGTTGAGAGTTTTTATCATAAATGGATGATAAATTTTGTCAAATGCTTTTTCTGCTCTATTTAGATAATCATATGATTTTTATTCTTCATTTTATTTTTGTGGTGTATCATGTTGATTAATTTGCAGTTGCTGAATCACTCTTGCATCCTTGGAGTAAATCCCACTTGATCGTGCTGTGTGATCCTTTTAACATATTGTTAAATTCAGTTTGCTAATATTTAGTTGAGGATTTTTGCATCTAAATTCAGCGGGGATATTGACCTGTAATTTTCTTTTTTTGTGGTGTGTCTGGTTTTGATATCAGGATAAAGCTGGTCTCATGAAATGAGTTTAGAAGTGCTCCTTCCTCTTCAGTTTTATTTAAATAATTTGAGAAGGACAGGTACTAACTCTTCTTTAAATGTTTGGTAGAATTCATCTATAATACTCTCTGGTTCTGGACTTTTGGTTTTTGAGAAGCTTTTAAAGTACCGATTCAATTTCATTGCTTGTAATCGGTCTTTGCAGATTTCCTATTTCCTTGTGATTCAGTCTTGGAAAGTTGTGTGTTTCTAGGAATTTATCCATTTCTTTTAGGTTTGCAATTTGCTGGTGTATAATTGTTCATAGTAATCTTTTATGATTTTTTTTCCTGTGGTATCAGTTGTAACTTCTCTTTCATTTTTTATTTTATTTATTTGCATTCTTTTGCTTTCTTTCCTTGATGAGTCTGCCTAGAGGTTCATGATTTTCTTTTTATCTTTTCAAAGAACCACTTTAAGTTTCATTAATCTTCTCTATTTTTTTAGTCTCTATTTAATTTATTTCTGCTATGATCTTTATTGTTTTCTTCCTTCTACTAACTTTGGGTTTGTTTATTTTTGGTTTTTGTTTGGTTTCTTTGGGAGTAAAGTTATATTATTTGAGCCTTTCCTTGTTTCTTGAGATGAGCCCGTATCACTATGAACTTTCCTCTTAGATCTGTTTTTGCTGTGTCCCATAGATTTTAGAAAATTGTATTCCCATTTTCAATTTGTCTCAAGGTATTTTTTGTTTTCCTCCTTGATTCCTTCATTGATTTCCTCTTTGAAATGCTTCATTGTGTGTTTAGAAGCATGTTGTTTTAGGCTCCACATGTTTGTGTTTTTTCCAGTTTTCATCTTGTAATTGATTTCTAGTTTCATACCATTGCAGCCAGAGAAGATGCTTGATCTAATTTTAATCTTCTTGCATTTATTAAAACTTGCTTTGTGTCTAACATGTGGTCTATTCTGGAAAATGTTTCATGTGCACTTGAAAAGAATGTGTTCTGCAGTTTTTGGATGAAATGTTCTGTCTATATTAAGTTCATCTAGTCTAATGTATCATTTAAGGCCAACGTTTCCTTACTAATTCTCTGTCTGAATGATCTATCCATTGGTGTAAGTGGGGTTTTTTTAGTCCCCTACTATTATTGTATTACTCTCCACTTCTCTCTTTATGTCTGTTAATATTTGCTTTATACATTTCAGTGCTCCTAGTTTGGGTGCATAAATATGTATGAATGTTACATCCTCTTCTTGAATTGGCCCCTTTATCATTATGTAATATCCTTCTTTGTCTTGTTACAGGCTTTGTTTTAAAGTCTGATATTATTTGATATGAGTATTGCTACTCCGGCTTTCTTTTTGCTTCCATTTGCATGGAATATTCTTTTCCATCCCTCTACTCTCAGTCTATGCGTATTTTCAGATCTGAGGTGAGTCTGTTATAGGCAGCACAGAGATGGGCCTGGGTTTCTTTTTATCCATGCAGCCACTCTATGTCTTTTGATTGCAGCACTTAGTTCATTTACATTTAAAGTAATTATTGCTAGGTATATATTTATTGCCATTGTGTTAATTGTTTTTTGGTTGTTTTTGTGGTTCTCTGTTCCTTCTTCTCTTGGTCTCTTTCCTAGTGGTTTGATGGTTTTCTTCAATGTTATATTTGTTGCTATGTTTTTTGTGTCTCTATCCTAGGTGTTTGGTTTGTGGTTATCATGAGGTTCATATATATATGGCTGTCTGATTTAAGTTGATGGTCATTTAAGTCCAAATGCATTCTAAAAGTATGGGACCCCTCATGAATTTGCATGTCATCCTTGCGCAGGGGCCATGCTAATTTTCTTGGTATCATTCCAATTCCAAAGTGAGAAATTGATCGGTAATTGTCAAAAATGACAACTCTGAGTGAAAAGTACATTTTACTAGAGGACCCAATATAAATTTAATTTATATCTCTTCCTTTAATTTAATCATTATAATATGTACATTAAATCACTGTATTGAAGTGCAATATTTTATAAAACAATATTTACCTTTACTACCTGCAATATACTTCTTTTCTCTCTCTTTTTATTGTTGGTGGTCGTTAAATTAATTCCATGACCTGCTAAGTGGGTCACAATACACAGTTTAAAATCTCTGATCTAGATCATTAATTCATTGAACAAGTATTTATTCAACACTAGCATGTGCCAGGTTGCCAGGTATTGTTCTAAGTTCAGCAGAGAACTAAACAGAAAAGAATTCTTGCCCACATAGAGCTTACATTCTGAAAGTGGGAACACACACATACAACATTATAATATGTGAGATATATGAAATACCCCTATAAACTATATGGTATGTCAGATGGTGTAGCAGATATTATTGGTGCCATATCCATAACACCAAATATTATATGATATCATCACTTTGGTGTGCTTCTTCCTATTCCAGGGGCCAAGATCTGCATGTTTTTGCTTTGAGACTTTTTCCAAAGTCACAGAAGGCTTATTTGCCCACCTTGAGGAAAAGCAGAATTAATACTCCATCCCCAAGAAGCCAGCCAATGACTAATGGAAGTTGGCATAAAAATGCCTCAGCTTCTTCTCCACTTGAGTGGGGTAACTTTGGAGCATCTCCCAAGAAACCACTTATACTTGAAATCTTGGGGTAACTCAAACTGTGAAAGAAGATGACACATGTTATGATACAAAATTAAATAGGAAAAGAAGTTAGGGAGGTCCATAGGGGATAATTTTAAATGGAGAGATCTGGGAAGGCCTCACTGATAAGAAATCAGTGCTATTTGAGGAAAGGTCTGAAGGCAGGAGAGGAGAAAGATATGTGGATGTGGAAGAGAGAGGATGTTTCAGACAAGAGGAACAGCAAGTGTAAAGACCCGGAAGCAAGAGTAAGGAGACCAGTACAATGGACTAAATGTTTGTATCACCCCAAATTCATAAAGCCCTAATTTCCAATGTGATGGTATTTGGAGATGGGCCTTCCTTTGGGAAGTAAGTAGGTTTAAATGAAGTCATGAGAGGGGTGCCTGGGTGGCTTAGTCATTAAGCTTCTGCCTTCAGCTCAGGTCACGATCCCAGGGTCCTGGGATCGAGCCCCGCATCAGGCTCACTGCTCAGTGGGAAAGCTGCTTCTCCCTCTCCCACTCTCCCTGCTTGTGTTCCTCTCTCACTGTGTCTCTCTCTGTCAAATAAATAAATAAAATCTTAAAAAAGAAGTGAAGTCATGAGAATGGATCCCCCTTGATGAGATTAGTGCCCTTATAAATGAGATGAAAGGAACCAATCCTCTTTCAGCCATGTAGGGATATAGCAAGAAGGCAGCTGTCTACAAACGAGGAGGAGAGCTCTCACCAGAACCCGACCATGGTGACATCTCGATCTCAGACACCCAGCTTCCAGAACCAGGAGAAATAAATTGCTCTTTAAGCCACCCATGATATCTATGCTATTCTGTTAGAGCTGCCCTAACTGACCAAGGCGACCAATGGTATGACAGCAGGAAAAGACAAGAGGTTCATGGGAGAGGTCTGAGATATAAGAGGAATATCTAAGTAGACACTGTTAACCTCACTGTTTTGTTTTCTGACCATATATTACCGATTAAGGGTTGTACATCTGGAAACCTGATTCAAAAGAATACCATGTTATTTAAAGTCAGGAAATGTGGTAATAGCAGGCAGGCAAAGAAGCTGACAGAAGTGTCAGGGGTTGTGTGTGAACATTTCAGAACTTCTACCAACTCTCATATATGTTGTTGTTGTTGTTGTTGTTTTAAGTAAGCTTTCTAAAAATAAAGAATAAAATAAGCTTTCTATATTGACTTGCATGGTCTCCCATTATTAATTAAGTCTCACTGCAAGGCTTTAGGGGTGCATTTCCAGTCATCAGCTGATCTGGACCTTTACATTGGCTGCTTATGGCACAATGCAGTTGTCTTTTGGCATCAGTTTTCTCATCTAAAAAATGGCTCTACCAGCCTTGACCACAACTGACACCATCATACCTGTTTGATAAACATTCATTCCCTTAAAGAAGAGGAGGGGCCAAAAGAACAGTAAGAGAATAAAGGGGGTTGAGAAATAACTTTTGCCTTGTTATGGGGAAAAAGGATTCTTCCGACTTTTTTACAGTCACATTTTAGAGAAGGGAATCCCTTTTATGCTAATCCAAACAGACAGCCCATCTTTGCTTAAACTCTTTCAGTGATCGCCACCTCACTGCTTTGCAAAATGGTCATTCCAATTCTCATGCCCCATTGATTATATTAAAAGTTCTCTATTTTTTGAATTAAAGTCCAAAGAACTTACTAAGCAACTCAGAAGTTTCTCTTTCATGTGACAATCCTTTTATGATTGAGTAAAACCAACCCACTTGCCTTGTTTTTCCTCTGCCAAACATCATCAGGTCTATAAGACATTCCACATATGATTGCAAGCACTTGAACATAACTTAGATGATTGACTTGTCAGCTATTATACTAACCATAAACCTCACCGCACACCCAATGCTGTTCTAAGTGCTTTTAGTTCAATTATCTCATTTAATATTCAAGCAGTCTTGGGAAGTAAGTACAATTATTATTCCTATTTTATAGATGAGGACAATAGGAAACATAGGAGGTAAATAATTTGCCTAATTACATATAACCAATAAGTTGTGGAGCCAAACATTCAAACTTACTAGTTTGACTCTAGAGCTCATATTATTCACTCATTCTGTTCTACCACCTGTCAAAAGTTCAGAAATAACAGAAGTAAAACCAATGAGTCACTGAAGTGTACGTAGTAAAAGTTAATTGTGCAATCACCAAAAAGACAAATTGCAAACCAGGAGCACTCAAACCAAAACATGGACAGAGGCTCAAGGGTACATTGTTATAAAGCAGCTTATATCATGAGAAAACAGTGATTTTATTCTTCACAGTGATTGGTTATAATATTAGAATTTTCTTGAATAATGAGGAAGTGGTCAATGGTTACCTTATGTCAACCTTGAGAAACAGTTTAAGTCTTGCTTATGATTTTTAGAGGCACAAGCAAAAAATGACCCAGGTCAAGTTAGTCTTGAAAAAATAAGCTAAGTTAAGTTTTGTTTGTGTGACTTAACTGGTTTTGTCTACTCAGGGAATTTTCAAGGCAAGGATCTGTTTGTTTTTTATTTTAACACACCTATCCACTAACGAACTCATGGTTAGTTAGTATGAGTCCAGACTAAGATTCAGACCTTCCAGCTCCTAGTCCAATGCTCTTTTCACCATGTCACATTATCCTGAGTGTGGATGGAATGCCTTTGGGAGAAAGTAAGAGGGTTCAGGAGAGTGAACTCTGGGTATAGAATTCCCAAATCCAAATCCCCAGAAGAACTGGATATCCGTTGATCTTTCACTTCTGTTACCAAAAATAACCTTCCCTGTTCCTGAATTTAGTCAGGAAAAATGCACACTGGCAAAGACAAAAAGGTAATCTTGCTCTAGAAAAGACTTCTAAGATTCTCCCTAATTCTCACACCTTAGGCCCCAGTGAAAACAAAGATCAGGGAAGTCTTCACTTCTAACCAGGAAGGAAGCTGTGGCCTCCAGCTACAGATCCTTGTCACCTAAAGCTGTTGAGATGGTGAAAATTCAATGGTGAAAGCTTCTTTTGTGTGGTGTTTTCCTTCTTCCCCAAAGAGCTGAGGGGTGGAGTAAGGAGAAAGGGATGGCCTCAGCTTATAAAGCTGAATCTGAAAGATTTCATCAAGAAAGTGAACTCTCAGAAAGAGCTCATGAAACAAAATCTCAGGGAAAGGAACCAAGGAAGGAGACAGAGATGACAATTGTCAATAGCATTATCAATTGTCAATAGCATGGCAGCAGGCAGGGTGATCTACTCAACGTGAAACTCAGCACATGCCATGTTGCTCAATGCCCCAGTGGCTTCCTTCTTCCCTCACAACAGAAGACTTAATTCAGAAAGGCACTGCTGAGTCCTCATTCAGAACTCTGCTGAACTTATATTATCAGAGAGGCTCATCTTGACTCTCTGACTTAATTAAAACTCTATCCCATTTCTCTACTTTGTTTTACTTCTTAGCATATACCACTCCCTGACATATGGTTTGCTTGTTTTTAGTCTCTCCTCTCCCCCAACTCCAGCATATAATACCATGGAGGACATCGCAGACTGAGTCTAATTTTTTTTCCTGCTATAATCCAGCAACTAAAACTGAAACTGGTAATTGTTGATGGATGAAAGAATTAATGAACAAAAAGAAAATGAACAAAACTAGGAGGAAAAAAAGAAAGCAGATAGGTAAAGACAGTAACAAAAAGATGAATAATTTCAATAGTAAGGAGACCTGAAAAATGAAGTTTGTAACCCAAATATCGACAGGAAGATGGGGCAAGATGAGAGGAAAGATTAAATTTTTAGGGGTTTAAAACATAGGAATGTTCATCTTGTCTGCAAACCAACCAAAGGCCTATTTTAATAGCTCTTTCTCTCTGATCCCCACACTCAAAAATGATTCCAATAGCTTTTACTTAGTGAGCCAGACATATGATCTGTATTAGTTCCAGTCTTCACAATGACCCCGAGAGTAAGGAATTATTATCCCCACTTTACAGATGAGGAAAGTGGGGGCAAAATGTTAAGCAATTTATTCACAATAACCAAAAGTTGAACACCACTCGAATGTCCATCAATGGATGAATGGATAAACAAAATGTTGTATATTATTCAGTCATAAAAAGAAATGAAATTATGATACATGGATAAACCTAAAAAAAAAAAAGAAAAAGAAAAGATTGTGCTATGTGACAGAAACCAGACACAAAATCTACCTATTGTATGATTCAATTAATATGAAATAAACAGAATAAGTAAATCCATAGAAACAGAAAGCA